TAACCCACTTTTCTTATTCCATCTGCTGTTCCTATGTGTTTGCTGGTGATTTATTTCCTCTCGCCTCTCCTGTGCAACCAGGTTCTGGCGGCAGCTCAGCAGACTCATGAGCAAGCTGAACCCACAGCCCAACCTCATCCACATTATGGGTTGCTATGTGTTGGGGAGCGCTAACGGAGAAAAGGTAGTTGTCTTTGTATTCTTGAGTCAAGACGTGCCTCAAAAACAAATATGACTCCCACGCTCTACTTGGTAGTGCAAAGGCTTACTCACAAAACCTGCATGGCTGTGCAGCCTGCTTAGTCATGATCACAAATATGCACACATGCACTCAAAGCCATATGCTGTCCACAGCACGGTGCAGATAAATCACTTAGACAGTCTGCAGGCTTTTCTCTACATATTGCAGACCCTTGAAGTGTCTGATGAAGTGTATGGAGAACTTTCTGCATATGTATGGTAAAATAATGTAGGGGAAGCTGTTTTTGTGCATGCAAAAGATGAAATAATGTACAGGAAAGCAAGTTTAAAAAAAATAAATATTAGAAGTAAGTGTTTGAAAAATGACCTTACCAGCACCTTCGGCTGCCTGCATGGCTGCAGCCCCAATCCTGCTGTGAGACAGAACACAGCACAGGAAGAGGGACGACAGTGAAGAAGTGGACGTGCATACACAGCATTTTGAAATGACAGGAAAGTAAACCCCTCGACACCCACTCAATTAAGCTACACACATACAGCAACTCACCCTCGCTGCAATTATACTTTTACATGCTCACACCTCCTCCAGTACCCCTGCCACCTTTCCACCCCCACAGAGACTGCTATACACTTGCTATATGCACATAAACATGCCCACACGTTAAAATATTTATACTTTCTCATGTAGCTCCATCTAGAACCACTGTACTATAGTTTCTTATGATTGCATAGTAGAATGCCAGCCTTTTCTTCTGCACTATGGTGGTGTATAGAAATCTGAATTTGAAATGAATAATACTCCCAGAATATCTGTGATAGGTGAGATAAGACCATTTAATACATATCGAATGCTTGTGTACCTCTTGACCTTAATGCTTCAAAATACAGTGGATGAATACAGTATGAAGCTGTTACAGTGAAAAGCAACAGAACTGATGTTAACTAAAGAATTGATCAACGGCCAAATCACAGTGGTGCTACTTGTCGGCCCACTGTATGTCTTGTTCCTGCCCGGGACAAGGTGATCTCCAAAATGTTAGGATGGTAGCGATAAGGCTAGGTAGATGCAACTGTGTTTGCTAAAAGTTTAAGCTGCTGACTGATGTCTCACCGTGCTCTCAGTTAATATCAACTGTGGTTGTACTTGTAGCTACTTAGAGCTTCATCTTTCACTTCAGTGTCTTTGTTGTAAATACCTGGCCATAGAGTCCCTTAGACCTCTGCAGTCATTCTCATTGTTCTTTTCTTTTCTGAGTACCTGAATTTTGGCAAGTGGCCATCTATAAAGTTTAGGCCTACGGGAGGTGGGGGATATATACTGGAGTATGACAACTTGCCTGATTGTGGAAACTTACCTGATTGTGGAAACCTGGAGGAAAGAGAAACACCTACAGACATAAACGGTGAACATGAAACTGAACGTGAACCAAAGTTACCTGTTATGCTCACCCACGAAGGGAAAGAACCTGTGGAAGAAAAGGAGTCAATGGCAGACAAAACCAGCCTAAGCCATACGATCAAACTATTTGTTGCATTATGGTGGCGGGGAAATAAAATAGTTTTTGACCACTATATTAAAGAAAATGAAAAGGATAAAAATAACAAGCTTATATGTGAGTCACAAATACTATATACATTTTTTTTTACAAATATGTATTTTTGATGAATAGTTCCAGCAAATTATTTATGGCTTAGAGGGCCCTATAGCATGTCAGCTGCCCTGGCTAAAAGCAATACGTTTTTAATATAGATTCATTTACATTAGCCTGCTCTCACATAGACAACTGATTCAAAACTGAGGATAGCAGTTTCAAACCTCAACAAACTGACTGTGTCCACATGTATAAAGATAAGCACACATGCTGTAATATTGTGCAATACACACAGCAAAAGATGTGCTGAAGCAAAGAGAATGTGTAAAATGATTTGGTGGAACATCACAGTGACTGTGACATTTGGCATCTTCTCTATAATGATTTAGTACAAGTCACATGAGAAGGGAGATGAACAGGGAAGGGCATCTTTCACTGCATTTAACAATATTCCCCCTGCTGCTGCCTGTGTGCCTCCTGCAGGCTCAGCTGGAGAGCCACTATTAATAGACTAACTGAGTGAGCTACCTTCAGACAATACTCCACCCTGCATCACAGTTCTGCTATCAGCCATCTTACACTACACAAATCATACATACATAAAGTATTAGTTGTTTGTAGAAAAGGGACAAAATCTTTCACTGATTTTTGTTTTTATGTAAATTAAGATATTATTAGTAACTCTCTGAATTACAGCCATAATATTTCAAATTAAGATATATATTTCAAAAGTTGTAGTTGCATAGTATTTTATAACAGTACCCTTAACTGTAAAATACAATATATTGCAACACATTCCAAAAAACAGTTGTGACAGTAAAGCATTTACCACAGTGCGATGTTGCCGTTTCTTCTCACAACACTTAAGAGACATTTAGGGACTGAGGACACCAAGTGACTAAATGTGTCAGGTGTCATTTTGTCCCATTCTTCCTGCTAACAAGTCTTAAGGCGCACAACAGTCCTGGGTCTTTGGTGATGCAATTTGTGTTTCAAAACGCACCATACATTCTATACTGGGGACAGGTTGGGACTGCAGACAGGCCAGTCCAGCACTCACACCCTTTTCCTCCACAGCCAGGCCAAGGTAACATGCACAGTATGAGGTTTGCATTTTATTGTTGAAATATGCATGTGTCCCTGGAAAAGATGTTGTCTTGAAGGCAGCATGTGTTGCTCCAACTTCTCTGTGTATTTTCCAGCATTAACAGAGATATCACAGAAGTGGAAGTGACCTTTGCCAAGGCACTGACACAACTCCAGACCATGACAGACACAGACTTTTGGTCTTATTACAGAACAATTCTAAGTGGCATTTATGGATGTAACTACGTACTGTAGTGCCTGACACAGGTGTGCCAAAGTTAATGATATTCTGCACCATAGATGGTGACATATCCAAATCCCTTCCTATCTTTCTTTGAGGAACATTGGTTTTAAACATTTCAATAATTTTCTCACACATATGTTGTCAAACTGGTGGTCCTCGGTCCATCTTTGCTCCTAAAGGACTCGGCCTTTCCTGGATGCCACTTTTGTACCAAATCATGATGCAGTCACCTGTTGACATCACCTGTTTCAAATGGAGTCATCATTTCATTGTTTTACCTCATTACTGGCCCTGAAATGCAGCTGTTCAACTTTTATTAGAATGTGTTGCAGCCTATTTTCTTGATATTTTTTATGTCTGCCTTTATTTTTGTTGACTGACTGGATCCTTCTGGACATGGGTGGTACCAGTCTGGTACAAATCTCCACAGAGATGTTCTGCTGTTCTTCTCACATGCCTGTTATCAGCTGTTCTTTGCTGGAGGTGGTTTTGTGCTTTACCTTCTGCTTTAAAACACTCAGGTGTTCTATTGGGATCAGGTCAGGGGACGTACTTGGCCAGGTCATAGTTTTCATTTCATTCTTTATCTATAATTCTTGTGTGATTTACACATTTAATACAGTTAAAAGTAATGATATATGAAAGATGAAAAGTGTTTTAAGTTCCCTGACATGTGGCAAAACCTTTTACCGTATTACTGTATAAGGGTGTTTTTCTTCCGTGTTTGCTGACACACTCCATGGGGGAAAGTCATTTTTAATTATGTTAACACATTCTGTACAGACAATCCTGTTCCTCTCAGGGTTGTAATTACATGGATGACCCTCAGACTTTTCACTGAGCACCATCAGCATGCCAACATTTTAATTTGTCCTGTACTTTGGTTTATGACCAGCTCATGACATCCCCATCAGCCTTATTGTGTCCCATGTTAGCTGTGACATTAAATTAGGACTCTGAGTTGGCACATGCTGTCAGTGTTTTGATGGATACTCCGTTTTAAGTAAGTATTACTGTATATGTCAGCAGGTTTGGGACACTGACACAGCTTCTCTTGGTCACAGTGGAGGAGCATTTTAAATGCCTTAAGTGGATTTGATAGTTGGCAGTCTGAAACAGGTTGCAGCATATATCAGTGCTCCCAAGTCACCAACCTCAACTGTATGCTCTGATTATGTTTTGTTGGTTTCTACAGTACATGTGTTTGTGCATCTGCAAGCCTGTCACACTTGATGCTACACCTGCTTTCGGCCCTCTCCACACTTTAACCGCCTCCTCCTCCTCCCTCTCCCTTCTCTCACTGCCTGGGGCACTGGTCCAATACCAGCTGGTGTGTCATCACACATCCTAGCAGCAGAAAGCCATGCTGTGCATCTGCCAGTTCAAACAGCAAAGGGTTACATTTCATGTGTGCACACAAAGACAAAAACCAGGGAACCTTCAGATCAGGACAAGGGTCTAAAACCATTTCTAAAGCTCAGAGTGTTTCTAGGAGCACATTAATTAAACAACAATAGTTATTACTACAATAATTAATTTATATCACAGTTCTCCCTTAGCACCAGGTGCCAAATGTGTCCCAGAGTGGTTGTACAGTATTTTTTGTAATGTTGTGTTGTGTATAAATAAACTATTACTATGCAGACATCTGTGGAACAATTGAACCATTTTACTTAAACAGAGAGATAAAGGCAGCAACAATATATTTTCCATGTCTGAAAATGGCATGTTCACTGCATTTCTCACCTAAACTCACCAGGTTTTTACTTATATAATGAATTACCTCATTCATTTTGAACACAAAGGTCTGTGCCAGCTTCTTAAGGCAGGTACAGTACAGGCTTTTCCCTCCACTACCTCACTGTATATAACCCTCCTCTGCCAGGCCACCACCTATCAGCCCACTCTAACATATGCCTTTGTATTGACAGAAAACATGACCATAAGTGCCCCTCACTTACAGTATACACAGCACAAGTGGCATACTGACCTTTTCACATACACTCAGCTTCAGTGCTGCATGAAGAGAGTTAAAGTGACTGCGGGGCCTCGTCTTGCTCTCTCCGTACAGTCATGTCTCTGTATCATCACTGGTGTGTGTGGTTGTCATGAAGTGCTCTCTTTTTTTAAGACTTTCTCTCTGTGTCCCTCTTTTCCCTGCAGCTGATTCAGACTCTGAAGAGACTGATGAGACCCTCCTCAGTCGAATTCAAGTCCCCATTAGAGCTGTCTGCACAGGGTGAGAGCACTCCACCGTGCACTGCAGTAGTTTTCTGCTGTCTTTACTAGAGATGTCCCGGTCCAGTGTTTTTGGCCCCAGTACTGATATGATTCCTTTAATATTAACTATCTGCTGATACCGATTCTGCTCTGGTACTTATATTTACCTACAATAAATGTTCATTATATATCTGACATATTGAAATTGACATTAAACTGGCACACTGTATTTTTAAGGAGTGTCTTGATCAGGTCTTGGTTCCAAAATATTAAGTTTTATTATTTTAAATTATTGATATGAATTAAAGAATAGCTGGGAGCTAGACTCTCAGAACTACAGATTCATTACAGGGCAGATACAATCTATTACTTTGTATCTGTATGTGAGCACAGCTTGTGTAACCAGTCCAGTTTACATATCCCTGTTTGACAATTTAATAATGCTGCATTAACAAATGGTGGCAGCTGTCATAGCACCACTGCACTAAAGCATAAAATTAGCTGCATGCATATCACAGGAGGCTCATGCTTGTGTCTATACAAGGCACATGTTCACTCATGCATAGGAAGCACATGGTGTTCCTAAAACAAAAAAGAGCCTACAGATACACTTTAAGGGAAAACTACAGTTCAAACCTCTGATAAATATTAGACAATGAGGGAATTGTTGATCCTTCTGACACTTTAAAAAGAATTACCATAGTAAAGATAGTTCATATGGTTTGACTTTTTTTTTTTACTTGATCTATTTGTCTATTTTGATGGAGTTCTGGTTGGAACTAGTGAGCTGTCTTTGTTTTGGTGGATTCTGTGGAGGGTGCATAGCTCCAAAAAAGAGTTGGTGGTAGCAACAAACTTAAAGTCCCCATGGCTGCTCATTTTGCTTGTTTCCAGCCAATTAGTGTTTTATCTTGGGTACCTCTAGATTAGCTTGGCACCCCTCATAACTCCAAATAGTCTAATTATTTCAGAATGATAAATCCAGAGAGCCTAAAAATGAGAGGATAGTTCATAAACATGCACAGTTCCTGTTGCCGGTGTTGTGTCGCAAGTGGACAGCAAACAAAGTGGGTAGTTGAGAAACCCCATATTTTAACTGGCATAATGCAGACATAGTAACTTCTCCAGCCTTACAACAATTCTCTCTAAAATACTGCACATCATATACAATGGGCAGTGTGACTTATTACAAGCCAGCTGAGATGTGTTTGTTAGGCTGTGAACTTCAAAGCCTTATTTGGCGTGACAGTGACAAAGACTGAGCAAACCTTCTGGCGTGAGATGAATTTATTTGTCTAGGGGACTGAGGTAGATGACTTCTTACATCTAGAAAAAACTACAACTCTCTGTGAGACAGGGGATGACATCAACAGTTACAGCCTACATCGAAGTATTCAATAAATAACATTAGCAGAGATGTACACTCTGCTGTGGTAATGTTGTTTTCATGTTAGCAGATCTCTACAGCTAATGTCAGGACAGCAGCTGTTAACAGCCCTGACAGGGTTATTTTTAGTTCTCGTCAATGAGTAAAAGTAAGTCTGATATTTACTCTGGTCCAGTCTCTTTTTGTCTTCTTCTTTGCTGTGGCTGAGCTTTGGTGATGCCTTCTACATATGTTTAATGAATGTCCTGTTGCAAAGCTTGTTCACAAATGCAGTTGGTGATTGTAGCAAGTTAAGAATTCTGTACTTTAAGCCCAAATGCCCGAGGGTGGGAGGAAACAGTATTCTCAGTGTGCAACTGGAACACCAATGTCCTTTCTGACTCTGCTCTGAATGAGATGTAGCTGCTTGCTTAGGAGAGTTAGCGTGGTCTACTGGCGGGTCCTCACACCTCCGAAAACATCAGGGCAAATTTCTGACAGTGGAAACACAGATGTGCAGCTGGAACATCGGCGTCCTCACCGACAGACTGTGGTCTGAACAAGATGTAGCTGCCTGCTAATAGAGCTAGCTTAGTGAGATAATGAGCACTCACATCTCTGAAAACATAGGAACAAATTACAAACTGGCATTATTTGGATAGACTGACCACATAGTCACAATCTAAGTTGTTACTTTGTCACCTGAAAAAATATCAAAACTCAATAAAGGCACAGGGATTTGTCTCTGCATGTGTAACCTCCCCCCCCTAAGAATCACAGAATACTGAGCTAACTGAAGGGTCTGGTGTTGTAAAGTCAAACACAGCTATCAATCAATGGTAATCTAAAGTTACATAGTGCACTAACAGATGATCCGGGCATACAGGTGGCATAAGGACAGAATAGAAGTCAATCTACTATCAAAATGATTTTGAAGCTGTTATTAAGCTGTTGTTTAAAAAGTTACATATTATTACTTTAATAAAATGCATGCTGGGAAGTAAATACATTATCAGTGCTTCAAAATCATTCAATTTGATGAGTTAACTAAAAAAAATTATAGGACATTTAGCCGGCTGAATTTATAATTTTAAGTTTCACTGATTATAATACAAGTTGTCTAATATAGCCAACTTATTATGACAGGGTAAAGTAAACACCCTATCATGAAGAACACAAGTCCCCAGAATGTTCTCAGTTTATAATGAATCACAAATTAAGATTCAGATTAATCAGGAGTGACCTGTGATAAAGTAAAGGACAAGCTTGAGCTGTTTTTTTTTGTCCAGTTCTTAGTTCATTCCTGATAATAAAGTTTCTAAGGCCTCCCAACTAGTAACTGTTGTTTATGCCAATTAATTGAAGTTGCAGTTTTTACAGTGCACCACAAGATGCACCCACAAAATATCAGGCATGCATACAATATTTGTATTGATTTAGCAATACCGGCTTCATCGGCACACCTGCTGAATGTTAATACTGGGCTTTAATCAACTCCAGTAATTTGGTGTTGCTCAGCAATGAAGAAGCCACATTAGGGAGTGTGAGCAAATGTGCAGGTGTGATCTCTGCTAAGCTCTCAACACTTCACTCATCAGTTTTTTTTTTCTGACATCTATTGATGCCATGCTAATTATTTTCCCATTGAAATGTCATTACCACCTATGCTTTTTTCCATCCTCTATCAAGCTGCCACACTCTGCTTCATCCCATTTCTTTTCCTTTTTTCATACATACAACTTGTGAAAAAGCATTCAGCACTTTCTGTGTTTTATTCATATGATTGAACTAAATGTTGAAAATATGAGAAACAAATTGGAAATATAAATGTATGAGGTTATCTATTGCATTGCACATAGTTTTGCTTCATTGGGTAAAGTGCACATGTATTTCCTTAAGCAGAAGAAATCATTTGTTTGGGTCATAGATCAGAAGGTATAACATTAGAATTCTTTAGCATTAACTGTCCAAGGGACCTCATAAAATTATTTGGTTTCAAATGTCATATTTGAGTGATACAGTAGGTTTCAGGTGTGATTTTATTTTTATATCTCTATGTTAATATATTAATGTAATCATTATAATGTCACCTTATTCTTAAGCGTTATTCAGTTCAAACTTTTTTGTCCCTGAGGTTTGCTCTGCAGTCAAAGCAGCCAACCACACAGCCACAAACCTCTCAGCAGCCTCAGCCTTCTCAGTATTTTTAATCATTATCCTCTACTGTACATATGTACAGCAAGAGTTGCAAACACAGAAGGCAAATGTAAAGTGTAATGTTTGTTGAATGACCACAGCCAACTACAAGCCAATATTACTGCTGCCCAACAGTGATGTAACATGTCTTACAGACCTCCTGCCCCTCACAGCAGCAAGGTGAGAAATTAGACCACTAGAGCTCAACAAAAATAAAATTTCAGCATGTGTAATTACTATCCACAGTGTATTCAGACTTCACTTCACTATTTATGTTATGCTGGTGCTAAACAGGATGTGCTTCTACCACATTTTGTCAGTCAGCATATTTAGACTTTACAAGTCTGTTTACTTCGATCAACAAAGTCCTTTGCCTTCTTGATGTTTGGGCAGGTAGCGTGTCCTTTAGGGCCTTCCCCCTGTGTTTACCTTTTTTATAACCTCACCCCTGACACATTTCACCAGTGAGTAGAGTGAACAGTCTCACATGGCTTTTAGTGATGCCTTTGGGTTCACTTTAATTTGAAAATAAATCAAACAAAGGGGAAAGTACAACACATTTGTAAGAATTACAAAACATTTCATATTAGACAAATGGATCAGCAAGCATGCCATTCATTTTGAAAATACCAAAAGCAATGACTGATAACATCATGACATAAAATCAATGACTACATTGATTTTCTGCCCCATGACCCAGATCCTGCTCCTCCCACAATCACAGTATTGTCAGCTAATTTGATAACATCTCTGTTTCTATCAGTATGCTGCCATCATTAAGTACACCTCTACTGACCTAATTTGATGCACATATTCTAACATATGCTTTGACAAAAGGTGAAACATCACAACAAAACACCAAATATGATGTAATTGCAAGAGCCCTAAAAGCTGATATGTTTCCTGAGATAGGTCCCTAACTGAGGAATGCCTTATGTCTCTGTACTGTACTGAATGAATGGGGCTCAGCAGACGCATGTAGGACAGATCAGTATGGTATACCGAATTATCTAAACCACTATGGCCATCTGAGAAAAATAGCAGCAGTAAAGTATCCATGATTTATGGTAACTTGCCTCCAACATGTAAAAACATTGTTATGGTCTGTTAAGCCTCAAGCAATGTACAGAAGTGAGTCCAGCAGAATAACTGCACTTTGCAATGTTAGATGAGGTCAGGATTTCCCAGTAATGTGTACTCTTGTAATCCCAACCTTGTTTCCTCTCTCTCTTTCTCTTTCTCTTTCTCTCACTGCAGGCAAAGAGATGATTGAGATGTACTTTGACTTCCGTCTGTTCCGCCTGTGGAAAAGCCGTCAGCACTCAAAGATGCTAGACTATGACGACCTCCTGTGATTGTCACTTTCTACTGGCGTCTTGAATGATTATCTCATGTCTGAGCCTACTGGTGTATGCTGGCAGGGCGTTTGGTTGAAGAGCCCTGCAGAGGCACCTAGACCGGCTCTAAGGAAGAACTGGACCAGCAGCAGTTGGGTCTTTCTTCCTTCTGAAGCAACAGGGTGACCCTGTAGATTCAGCCAGTGGTGTACGTTTTCTCCCATATCCAGTTTAACTTTCCGCCTATATATCTGAGAAATGAGAAGGAGAGGGACAAGAAAAAGGAGGGGTGAGGACTCTTGATCTTATCCCGAATGTGTCAGATGCTGCTGACTAGAGTTAGACTCCTGAGTTCAGAGAGGATGTCAGATAAGAGCGACAGCAGAGACTGAGCTTTGAGGCTATTAGCCAGCCTTTCTGCTCCTTTAAGATTGAGGTATTTTCTTTGTCAAGTGGGGAAGTTATTTGCAAGGAATTAGAATGTATATGTAAATACATAAAAGCAAATGCTTACTTAAGCATTAGAGAATAGATTTCCAGCTTCTTTCTCCATGCTTTCACGTGAAACTCAAAACATTTAATTAGTTTTAAAAAAAATTAGAGGTGTCTATTTAACACTGCTTTCTCTTTTAAAAAGATTAGAATAAATGTTTTAGTATTTCATACAGACTGTTTTATTAACTCAGGTTACATCCCTTGTTTGATACTAAGAACTGTACTCACTGTTCGCAAAATACTGTAGAATACTGTAGAATCCAAGGCCTTCGTACTCCTCACAGAGCCATCTTCACTGGAACGCTATTAGCGTTGTGAGGTGGGGAGAGGGGGCATTTAAGCTATATTTTCATAGTGTTTTAAGTCAACTGTAGCTGAACAGAGAGCTGTGTTGATGCATGTTGATAGCATTACTGCGATAAACTTGAACCCGCTGAGCTAATACCAGCTATTCTTTCTTGAGCTGCTGGTTCACGGGTGCTTACTTTAGCAGTATCTTTATAAGAGTAGACAAAAATACATAATGTAATGCATACTGGACTTTATATTTGGACACTTGATTTACACACACTGGGCCTCATGGAAGAACATTTTACTTATCTTATCCTACATTTCTCTTTTTTCTTCTAAAGTCAAATTCAGCTAGCATAAATCACTCCTTTCAGACTGATGAACACCAGTTGTTCACGAGGAGTTGTGTGTTTGTGAAATTTGATCATTAACATAACGAACCCTAAAATTGCCATACATACAGCTGCCTCTTCATCTTCCTTTGTGGGGAAATCTTTACAAAATCATATTCAAGAATAATAAAAAGGTTTAAAAATCTAAGCAATTTTACAGTCAGTGGTCATATTAGTGACATGTCATCAGAACAGCAAGTTAGATGTTAAAAACCATCTTTCTAAAACAAAGCTGTCTGTAACTAACATGTAAGGGGGTCAGCTGATGACACTTACTGAGATATTAAAGTAGAGAATATTCCTGCCTACAGCGTGTGATGTTACATTGCAGCTGAAGCGGAGGATGATACTGGACAGAGCACTGCAGAAAGACTTTCATATAGTGTTTGATATGTACTGCATATTTTTACATGGAATTATCTTTAGTTTCATATTTAACTTCCAATTAATTCAGATGAAGCAGCAAAGTCAAACCAGTGTGGTTTCCCCCATGAAGAAAATCAGTCTCTCTGCTCTTGACTCTACAGCAACATGAATTTCATTTCTACTTAATGAAAATTCAAAGTATGAAAAAAATGGATTATCTTGAATCTCTCATACAGTATGTGTGACTTAGGAACTAATCTGCTCTTACAGCTGGATGTTGTGTGAGGCCTAATGTCTGGAGTCAGTTTGAATTTCCTGTTTAAAACAACTTGAATCACTCGAAGTAGCACTAGAGTGGTAGAGGTGATACTTTATCTTTGCTTCTTCTCAGCACCTGATTGTTTTGTGTTAATATACTCTTAAAATCAATAGTTTAGACATTTTGGTCGGTATCACAAGGTGAGGGTCTGTGTCTTAAAATGCACTTCTTCTCTCATTTTTGACGTTAATATCCATTATACACCATCAAAGCATTTTAGATGGCTGTAAATGGCATTTAATTTGTATTAACATTATAAAAAAGATAACTCCAGAGATTTAGTATTGTACATCCATGGGAGATTTGCAAGCGACATGATAAAAAAGTGAAAAAAGATTGTCAGAGTTGAAGCAACAGATGCAGAAATGTCCTGACTTTTAATCTATAATGTGGGTTATACAGTGGTGTGAAAAAGTGTTTGCCCCCTTACTGATTTCTTTTCTTTTTGCATGTTTGTCACACTGTAATGTTTCAGATCGTCAAACAAATTTATATATTAGTCAAAGATAACACAAGTAAACACATCATGCAGTTTTTAAATGAAGGTTTTTATTATTAAGGGAAAACAAAATCCAAAACTACAAAGCCCTGTGTGAACAAGTGTTTGCCCCCCTGTCAAAACACTGGTTTATCGCACCTGAGTTCAATTTCTCT